TAATCATCTTGATCTCAGGGTCTGAGTTCAGGCCCTACATCAGGCTCCACAGCCTATTAAACAACAACAACAACACAAAACAACAACAAAATCAGTTGCTTGCTGGCAAGGTATTTCTTGATTTCACAGACAAAGCATTGGTGGAACCAATCCAGAAAATGGGTTCTCATCCAGGCCTTCTTGTACAATAAAAAGACTGGTGGCTGGTGATTATCTTTTTCCCTCAAGGCTTCGGAGTTAGTGGCTTTATAGATAAGGACAGTCCTGATCATAAACCAGACTGCATTTGCACAAACCCAGAGAGTTAGTCTTTCCCTTCCTGCCTTAAATTCCAGTGCTTGCTTCTCTTCCTTGCCAATAAATGTTCTTTGTGGCATTTTTTTTTCCAGGATAAGACACTTCCATCTACATGAAAACCCTGTTCAGGCAGATATCCTTTCTCAATGATTTTTTTAAAAAAGATTTTATTTATTTATTTGACAGAGATATATATGGAGAGAGCACAAGTAGGCAGAGAGGCAGGCAGAGGGAGAGGGAGAAGCAGGCTCCCCACTGCGCAGGGAGCCCAATGTGGGGCTCGATCCCAGGACCTCAGGACCACGACCCGAGTTGAAGGCAGCCGCTCAAATGACTGAGCCCCCCAGGCACTCCCTCAATGATTTTCTTAATGGCATCTAAGAACTCATCTGCTGCTTGCTTTGCAGAAGCTGCTTCTCCTGTTATCGTGACATTTTTTATGCCAAACCTCTTTCTAAAATTGTCAAACCATCCTTTGCTGGCATTAAATTCTCCAGCTTTAGATCCTTCAGCTTCCTGTTGCATTAAGTTGTCATAGAGTGACGTGCCTTTTTCTCAAATCATATCAGAGTCTGTAGGTATGCCTTATAGCAATCTTGCACCCACATAAAGGCTGCATTTTCAATATGAGATTTTTAAAAAGGTATTTCACAAAAATCGTAAGATTTTCACTCCTTCTGGCCTAGTTGCGGCAACAGCTCCATGGATTTCCTTCTCTCTCTCTCTTTTTACGTTAAGCTCTATGTCCAGTGTGGGGCTTGAACACACAACCCTGAGATCAAGAGTCCATGCTGTAGTGACCGGACCAGACAGGTGCCCCCCTTTTCTCTTTTTAATGTGGTCCTTATGCTGGACTCATTTAGCTTGGAATGGTGGGCAATTGCCACTGCAGACCTCAGTCTACAGCCCATACCAAGCAATTCAACTGCATCTTCTAACATTGTGATTTTTTTTCCTGCTTCTTGGGAGCACATTTGGCATCATTACTGGCAGTTCGTACAGGTCCTATAGGTTACGGTGTTGCACTAAATACAATGAAAAATACATGAGAACCACAAGAGATCACTTCTATTGTGATACATAATTTACTGGAGAGATGGTGTGCTGATGTAGGATGATTAATGTCACAGAGTGTTTTCAGTGGGTCCCCAAAACATGAGCTCAGCACAATAGCACAGGAGGTGGCCCCTATTTATCAGAGAAGTACAGTGTGTACTGGTAAAGAATAGAATCAAACCAAGTCAGTTTGAAGATCTAATTGGCTTTATTAGGTGATCCATGAGACAAGCATGTAGCAAAGGGAATGGAGATCCAACGGGTTACAGAAAGAGAAAGGTTTTTGAAAGCAGAACAGGGAAGTCATGAACAGGAAAAAAGCATTATTTTAGGTTAGGTCACCTTCATTTGGGGACAAAAAGTTCTTAGTATGTGGGGATGGAAAGACCCATGTGACAGATCTCCTTATTGGTGCTAAGCAGAAAATTTCTGACTAAGGCTGTATTTCTGGGGTAGGATGACAATGGTATTAGGTTAGGTATTAAGCCCCAGTTTGGGGATTGGACCTAAGGTGTCCTTTTGAGCCTGTAGCTTTCTTTTTTTATCAGTACTGCAGTAAATTTTATGCAGTTATGATTTAATACTGCATCTTTAGATTGCTTACATTTCTCATGACAACTAATGGCACATGTATGGTCTGTGAGTATTTGTGTGCATAAGTTTTGACAAATTTTAACTTTTGGTAATAGATTTGTGTATATTTTATGGTAGCAAATGATAAAATAGACCAGTACTTTTATATATTTTATACATTCCTGACATACCCAACATTTAAATTTTTTTAATACTTCTAGGCTACACAGTTTGCCTGCAAGTTTTTTCAAATTGTCACAAATTTCCGAAAAATTTTTTAATACACCTACTGAAAAAAAATTTACAGATAAGTAGTCCCGCAGGGTTCAAGCCGGTGTTGTTTAGGAGTCAGGTGTGTATGTTGTGAAACTGGATGGAGACTCCGTGAAGGTGGCGATGGGCGGCCAGCAGAGGGAGCTCACCACCCTGGCCGCGTCTTGGAGACCCGACAAAGAGGTTGCACCTCGCGGGAGATGTTACTTCCTACCCTCTTTCCTATATATGAGAGCTTTGCTCTGTGGACTTGCCTATAGTTTTGTGGGTTTTTTTTTTTTTAAGATTTTATTTATTTATTTGACAGAGAGAGATCACAAGTAGGCAGAGAGGCAGGCAGTGGTGGAGGGGGGGGGGAAGCAGGCTCCCCGCTGAGCAGAGAGCCCGATGCGGGGCTTGATCCCAGGACCCTGAGATCATGACCTGGGCCGATGGCAGAGGCTTAACCCACTGAGCCACCCAGGCGCCCCTTGCCTATAGTTTTGTCTGAGCTTGCTTATCCTGAATTGCAACTCTCTGCTTTTACTAAGTAAACCCATTTTTCCTGGCAAAATAACTGGCAGTTTTAAAGTTAACACACTTGCTAATTATTTGTAATTTCTTACTTAAGAGAACGTAATTTCCATTTTGCCTTGGTAATGACTTGCCCTTCAATTGTTTCATCTGATGTTAAATTTCCATCTTGGTTTTATTTTGGATCATTTCTCCAACATATTTTTTGATACTTTTATCCTACCCATTATATAAATACTTTCCACCTAGGTTTGGCAGGAGGTGGGATGGAGAATGGAAACACACTGGTAGGTCTACATCTTTTTCCAGGAAACCTTCCTTCATCCTCTCACTTCCTAGCTTACATTTACCTACAATGGTAAAGGGCAAAGAAGTATGGAGCAGTCTTTGGCCACCTCCTAGAAGCCCTGAAAATAGGTGTTTGCACCTTTTTAGTATATGTGGACATATACTATCTGCTGCCCTTAGCCAAAATATTGACATCCTATTGTGTTACATGCAGATGACACACAAAGTCACATCCTCTGAGCCCCAAACTTGCACATCCCATCAGTAAAATCAGCTCAGACTCAGCATGTTGGATGATGCTGACAGGGCAACCAGAGGACAATAGGAACAAGTACACTGGAGTCAGGAACCACTGACCCAAACAGGGATGTGTTCCATGGAATTGGAGAATGAGAAGAGAAGGAAATAAAAGGCACAGGCCAGCCTTTTGAGCAGCAACGTCACCAGGGAGTCTGAGGGGGATGCGGAGTTAGTCTTTTTCTTTTTCTTTCTTTTTTTTTTTTTTTGGTAGTGAAAACTATCAGAGTGTATCTTGTGCTCATGGAAATAATTACATAGAGAAAGACAAACAGATTAGGAGAGGAGATGGCAGAGTCTTTGAGAATTCAAGAGGGAATGGGTTCCAGTGCTCCAGGGGAGAGACTGCCTTATGTAGGAGCAGGGAAGTGACGGTCGCAGGTTACCAGGAGGGAAGTGAAGGGCAGAGGGTTGACGTGGGTGGCCCTTCAGATGAGGTAATAAGAAGAGTGTTGGTCTCATCTGGGTGGCTCAATTAGAGAGGCCTGAGAAATTCTGGTGGTCACTCGGAGAGTGAGAGAAAAATCACAAGATCACAAGGGACAGCGAAGCACTCATTTTAAGCTTCAGGTGAAGCCAGCAGCCTGCCCGTTCCTGCAGTGGTCATGATGGGGCATGGCTGGTTCAGCCGGGGTGGGTCTTCTCGGATGCCCACTGTGGACAGGGACTAGCAACCAAGCGGAGTGACGGCTCGTGCACGTGGGCGGGTGCGGGGAGCGAGGGCAGAGCGAAGGGGAGGGGGCAGGAGCGGTGAGCTTGAGCCGCTCGAGCTCCGGCTGGGCGCAGCCGGGAGCCGCAGGGCAGGAGCTCGGCCTCGCGCTTCCGCAACGGAGCTTCCAGCCCTGGCGGTTTTGAAGAGGAGCGCGCGGGTGCGGCCACGCACTGGGCGCCGCGGGTCTCCGCGTGCTGCCGGACGCTTCGGGCGGCGTAGCTTCCAAGCACAAGTCCGACGCGCCTTCTCTAGACGGACGAGGGTCCGCGAGGACGAGCTGCCGGAGCGCGGAGGCCGCGCGGTCGCCGGGAGCTCAGGACGAAGCACGGGCCGTCCGACCGCTCAGCGAACAGGCGACAGACTGCTCCAGCGGAGGACCCGTGCTCTCCGCGACTCCGAGTCCGCGAGGAGGGACACCCGAGCCTCGCGGGGTTCGACGGTTTCGGGGCGTAGTCCCCCCAGTCCGCACTGAGACGTCCGAGCGCGGGCCGCGCAGCCCGAGGGTTGAAGGAGACCCTGCCGGGCGGCCGGGCAGGAGGGCCGGCCGGCTGCGGTCCGAGCGACGCGAGCGAGTGCCACCGCGTCCCGCGGGGAGCGGACGCCCGGCCCCGCCGACCCCGCCGACCCCGCCCTCGGGGCCTTCGGAGATCGCGCGCTCGCCAGCGCCCGCCTATGGGGCGGAGCCCCCAGGACCGCACTCCCGCCTCCCGGCAGGCCCCGCGCACCCTCAGCCGGATTCCCGCTCCCGGCATGCCGCACGCCGGCGCACGCGCACGGGGTTCGTGGCGGCGCCCCCTGGCGGCGGGAGCAGGGAGGCGCGGGGGCGGGGCCGGAGGCGGGGGGTTGCGCTGGTGACGGGAGGACGCGCGGCTGCGGCGCACTGGCCTGGCGGCGGCGGCGGCGGCGACTGCGGCGGCGGCAGCAGCGGCGCAGGACGCGGACGGAGCGGGCTGCTGCTGCTGCGGCGGCGGCGGCGGCGGCGGCGGCGGCGGCGGGAGAGCCGCGACAGCTCGGGCAGCGCCCAGGCCGACATGAGGGGCTGTGGCGGCGCGGCCCGCGAGCAGCCGGCCGGTGAGAGCGCGGGCGGTGGGCGGCGCGGGCCAGGAAGATGGCGGAGAGGCCGGCTCTGCGGCCCCCGCCCGGCCTCGAGGAGGTCCCGGACCCCGCGGTGCGAAGATCCGGGCCCGCGGGGCCCGAGGGGGCGGGCGGGGCCGCCGCGGGGGCGGGGTGGGGAGGGCGCGTGGGTGTGCCGGGCGGGACTGGGCGGGGGCGCGGGGCGCGAGGGGCCAAGGCCGCGCGGGGCCCGGGCGTGAGGTGGGTGTGAGTGTGCCCGGCCCGAGGGTGGGCGTGAGTGCGAGTGTGCCCGGCCGCGGGGGTGGGGGCGTGAGTGGAGTGCAGGGGCCTGGGTGTGGGGCGTCGGCGCGGTTTGCGGGGCTCGGGCGGGGCGGCGTGCGGGGGCGCTTTGTCCGGGCGCGGGGAGTCAGGACGCGCGGCTCTGGGTGCGGGCCGTGGCCGCGGGGCCTCGCGGACCGGCCTCTGCGGCGCGGCGGGTCGGGGCGCTCCCCGGCGCAGCCCTCCGGGACCTGGAAGTCCCTCTGTGGCTTCTCGGCGGTGGGAGTGGCGGGGGCGGAGGGGCCGCGTTCCGTGCCGAGGGCCGCGCGGGAGGCCGGCCGTGCATCTTGGGGGTCAGGACGTCTTTTATCTTACACCGGCGACGCGCTGCGAGGCCGCGGCAGCTGTGGGTGTGTTCCGTGCTGCTCCCTCCGGCAGCTGCTGTGGGCGCTGCGCAACCTTCAGCGAAAACGCGGCGCCCTCCCCCCGCCTCCGTTCGGTGTCGTAGGGTTTAGCCAAACCTCCGGTGACCTCTGCAGAAACCGACAGTTGCAAGGCTTCGTGTTCCTCCGCGGGTGTAGACAATAGGAGATTTGTCTTTGAAGCCGGCGAGAGGAATTAAACCCTGTGGGTCCAGGGCGCCTCTGCAAACAGCAGGTGGTTCCCGGTCAGCGGCTCCCGTTTCACAATGAGCCAGGTGTGTTTCTGCTCGCTGGGGGAGGGGAAGGAGATTCGATAGGGGGTGCGGCTGGGAGGCTAGAGGCTCGTTTCCTAAGCGTCCTGGGCGCAGACTTGATGACCCTCAAAGGCTTGCTCGCTGAATGAGCAGAGGTCAGCCGGCCTCTGGCTGCACTTTGTGTCTTGCCAAGGAGCTGGAGAGCAGAGCGCAGAAGCGGGCGGGTTCTGGAGCCAGACTGCCTACCTTCCGGTCCTGCCTCCTGTGCTTACGGCTTTGTGCTCTGTGCCTTTGGTCTCTGGTCGGTGAAATGGGAACACCGGCGTCCTGGCCTCCTGGGGGGTGGTTGTGAGGACTCAGCGAGCGAACACTCAAGCAGTTTGTGTCAGGTGCGATGTGAGTGTTGGGGACTGCCAGTGCTTGGAGCTGGTTTCCAGGGCCCCGCTGCTTGGCTGCTGGCTCTGCCCTTGTCTACTAGCGTCACCCTCTTGGTTTTACATTAACTTGAAATCTTTGACGATTTTCTCACACGAGCAAGTTGGGATCATATATGGAAATGCTAAGTCTCTTACAAAGGTAAATGAGGAACAGATCTTACGTGCTTAGATGCATTCTACACCTGATATTATGGATTTGTAATTTGTAGGTTGCTATATAGAATCTGTTTAGAAGAAGAAAGCTGCTAGTGAGGCGCTCTAGAATCCTGTAGTACTTGTCCTGGGGGGGGCGGGTAGGGTTGTTGCAGACAGGGATGAGAGTTAGAGCAGGTCTTGGGTGATTCTCCAAATTAGACCCCTGAAGCAGTTGTTGTTACACTTAACGGTGTTACGCTTGGACTAGGAAGGGTAACTTACTGACAAACTCAGATGGCAGTGAAGACATAAGCAATACAGTGAGAACTTGGAATTATCTGTTCCAGAACAAAATAAGATCCAACTTGCTTCAGAGCAAAGGAGGAAGAATCTTCATTTCCCAAGGAGATGATTCTCTTTCTCAGATCTGGGGAGAGGGGCGCCCAGGCGGTTCAGACGGTGAAGCAGCTGCCTTCAGCTCCGGTCATGATCCTGGAGTCCTGAGATAGAGCCCTGCATCGGGCTCCCTGCTCAGTGGGGGCCTGCTTCTCCCTCCCTACTTGTGCTCTCTCCTGCTATGTATGTCACTGTTTCTCTCTCAAATAAATAAAATCTCTTTTAAAATATCAGATCTAGGGAGAATATCTTAGACTTACCCTATATAACTGCATCTCATCTCCTTTAAATCTGTGACACTAAGACTTGGGGAGGAATCCTTCCCCTTTAAGATCGAGTCTTTGGGCATTTGTGGGGTTTAAGGTGAGAAGGTTTAATGTTCAGAACAGATGGTGATGAAACAGCTTTGTGAGCAAAATGTAAAATATCTGAGGATAGATTTAAAAATGTCCATCCCAGCCTTTTCTCCGGCTTGCATGCTGGGGTGGGCTGTTCCCCTCCAAGGAAAAAAAGAGCCCGCTTTGTGCTCTGTCTGGGTGGTCTCACCCAGGACAGTCGTGCCAGCCAGACTTCTCCCCTCAGCCTCGAACTTTGCAGCCAGCCTCTGGATGCAGAAGCCCTTCGGGCTTCTAGACCCTGCCTCTTCTACTTCTGACCTCAGCCCTTTGGTGCTTTGGGACCATCACTGGGTTGTTTGCTGCCTGGAAGAGCTTGGTGTCCTGGGTCCTCCCCCAGCTACAGGTCTTCACTATAGGTCCTACTCGTCCCTCCTGAGTAGTTACCAGATTTATCCTCCCTTACGTTTATTGTCTGGGGCCTGTGCCGTCTTGCATTATGGCTGTGCCTGCTCGGGGGCGCCCTCCCTTTTGTCTTCCACATAGCTGCTCAGGTGAGGTAGTGCGGAGCAGTGGTGCTCACCCAGAGGTGATTGGTCTGGAGAAGTTTTTGGTTGTTCTGACTTGGGTGCTACTGGCACTGAATGTGTGGAGGCTAGGGGAGCTGCCGGGCACCCCACCGTGTGCTGGACGGTCCTGTAGCCAGAAGGCCAGCCTGAAGGGCCCAGAGTGTGTCCAGCTGGTTGCTCGGGTGCCCTGCGGTCCTCCCTGGCCTCACATGCTCCTTGGACCGCTCTTTTCTGTGCGCCGACCCGCACTCTGCTCTGCACTGACAGCAGCCAGTGCTCCGGAGGCCGAGCCCCGCTCCACGTCCCCCTCCCCGCGAAACAAGCAAAGCTTGAGTGGCCCCTTTATCTCCTCGGACCCTCAACGGCACTTGCCCCAGGAGGAGCCTGTCCTGACCCCTCCCTTCTCCCAGCAACTTCTGCGCCTCCTCGTGTTCTGAGCCGCGCCTCTCGCCACTGGACTCGTGAGAGCTGTCTCCCGTCTGCACTGGGAGGTCTTTGAAGGCAAAGGAGACCTTTGTGTCTTCAGTGTCTCTTTGCAACATTTTCTTAGGACATTGACCTCAGTAGGAATGGTGGATTTGGGGAGGTTTCACCCCAGAGGAGGATTAGCACAGCAGCGGGAGCAGCTCCCTTGTTTCCTCCATTTTGGCTGCTTACAACTACTGGGGCTTCTTGTCTCTTGCTTTCTTAAGTATAATTTTTAAAAAAATTCTCATAGATGCTCTCTATTTTTGCTTCCTAAAAGGTTAAAAAAATTTCTTTTGGGATCCATAACATATTCACATTCACAGTTGGAAAATAATGCACAGTGTAGCTTCTGTCCTGTTTTTACCCACAGGAACCCAGTCCCCTGGAGGCACATACTCTATCTCCTTCTGGAGACATCAGTACTTATAAAAGCAAATTCTTCTCTTTCTGCCCTTTTCAAAAAGTTCCTGAACCTTGCCTTTTTTAACTAAATGTGTATGGAAGTCATCCCATATTGGTAAATTTCCCAGTTCACTCTTTTTCATGGCTGCATTCGTGTTTGGTGCTACAGAGGTGCTGTGACTTGTCTAAGTTGCCCCGTGCCGCTGGATACCGTGTCTTGTGCAGTTTGTTTTGTACAGAGTTGGGTCATGTGAGAATACGCCTGTGGGGTCTGTCCCTAGAAGTAGCACTTCTTCTGTTAATCACTAGTCGCTCCGTTAGATCAGGCTTTGCTCTTGCTTTTCCACGTCTTTAGCTCTGCACTTCCTTTGGTCATTTATTTCTCCCAGCTACCTATATCTTGAATAGTATGGTATGATCAGATTAAATGAGTTTCTCCACTGGAAATTGGCCCATTTTCGTGTGTTCTCATGGGCAGGAGTGACTAGGAGAACACCTTCACTCAAGCACTTGTGCACAGATGCTCAGAGTGGCCACTGTCCGCGGTAGCTGAAAATTGGAAATGACCCACATGTCCATCAGCACATGAATAGATAAGTGTGGTCTTTCCATGGGATGGAATATTATTTGGCAATAAAAAGGAGAGAAGTACTGATTCATGCGGCAACAGGGATGGATCTCGAAACACTGTGGTCAGTGAAGAAAGCCAGACACAGAAATCCACGAGCGTGTGTTTTCATTGGTGTGAAATGCACGGAACAGGCACGTCCATGGGTCGAAAGTAGGTTAGTGGTTTCCAGAGCCTGGGGTTACAGATAAGAGCTATGGGATTATTTGGGGGGTAAGGAAAGTACCTTGTAGTTGCCCATGGAGAAGGCTGTGCGTGTCTGTGAGTATGTTAGTATCAGTAGATCGTACACTTTAAGTGGGTAAATCGTGTGGTATGTGATTGTCTCAGTAAAGCTGTTACACACAGGCGTGACTAGGGTTTTTCAGAGCATTCCAGGGTGGCGCCCACAGGGAGTCTTGGTGTTGACCCAGTCCTGGGGTTGTGTGGGGAAGTCCAGTGGGCAGCACGGGGAGTGAGTAATAAATCATGATGGGTTTCTGAGCTGCCTGGCGTAGCTGGTACAGCCCTGGCTCAGCTGCGGGGTTGAGCTTTGACTCAATCCCTGGCCAGTGCAACTGATCACAGATAAATTGCTTAACAGCTAAGCCTGGGCTTTTGTGTGTGGATTAGATGCTGTTGGTCCTGCCACAGCATGACTGAGTCCTGGAGGGTTCTGTAAATTACCAAGTGTTACATGTGCATAAGGTGGTT